GTTTATCTTCTTCGCTGATCGATTTGTCAACTTCGGCTTTATAAGGATTTAAACAACGTCCAAGAAGACTGCAGATTTTTCATGAATGAGGGAGAGACGAGGTAACCATAACTGAAGAATTAGTCATCAAAAATGAATGATAATAAAATATCTTTGGCCATTTCTTAGTTGGCAATAATGGAATGGACCGCAAATATCTGTATTGAATAGTTCTAAACATTGGATGACCGAAGGCACCAGGTAAGTCTGCTTTTTGTTTAAGTGCTTGTATTTGTCCTTTAATACACTCCGATACAAGAATCATCAAACCTGTGTAAATCAAGTGTTATCTGGAGAGATACATGCAAAACAAAGACGACTCAAGTTCTCACACGGATTGGGATAAATCACCCAAACGTGCTAATCAGCTACGAAGGTACGAGCTTGAGTTATCAAGTATTGCACTTTCTTTTGGTAACCTCTGTCGGGTAAGTAACCATGTCCAGGAACACAGCGGATTCAATGATAACTAGTATCAATGTCTAAACCATATAATAGGTTGATTATCACATTTCCATAGGGCATGGTAAGCAAAGTCCAGTAAACCAGACAAAACTTTTGGAATTCAAATGAGATAGAATGTGATATATACTGTCTCCAAAAGAACAAATGAAAACCAGGAAATTTGTACAACAAAAAGAGAAAGCATGAATCGAGAATATCCTTCTCACAAAGAGGAAGTAACAACAAGTATCTATACTGTAGGATCCAAAAATAGCCCAGTACTATAAACATTTAGATCTAAAAATGTCAATTGCACTCTACTTTCAACCTAGATCGCTGCATTGTCCTACCATAGACGGTATCTTTCACGACGTAGTTGGCTTTCCTGTAAGTTTGAAGGCGCAGCCCAGCAATGAAACACTTATATTTGAGCGGTAAGCAACCGAGAATCCAATCCAATAAGTGTTTTTAGGAGCTGAAGGTCTAAATTAACGTTCAAACAGATTCTAAGACAAGGTACTTACCCCTCAAGGTACTTACCCCTCTTTGCAAGCCAATTAGCAAATTTAGGACAGTCCTTTCTCAAGTGATCCGTCTTTCCACAAAAGAAGCATTTTGGCACATAAGGCTTCTTTTGTACTGGATCTACAGCAGTAGCAACAGCAGGTTTCTCAATAGCCTTTTCAACAGTCTTTGCAGAAGGCCTCTTTCTTTTCTTGTTCTTGCCCTTCTCAGCTGAAGAAACAAAATGAGCACTCTCTCTTTTGTTAGAATTCATCTTTTCCTCCTCATCAACACAATGAGAAATGAGCTCGTTAAGAGTCCATTAGCTCGTTAAGAGTCCATTTATTCGGCTGACAATTATAGGAAGTCCTAATTTGTCCATACTGAGAAGGAAGAGAATTCATAACCAAATGGACTAAAAGGTCATCTGGTAAAGCCATACCCAGCACCTTCAGTCTCTTTGCAATCTGAGACATGCTAAGAATATGCTCCCGAGCACCACCATTGCCAGCAAACTTCATGGAGGTTAATTTTCCTAAAAGTGTTCTCACTTCGGCTTTGTCATTCTTGACATAAGCCCTCTCCAGCTCGGCAAGATAGTTTTGAGCATTGTTCTTTTCAGCTGAGACAGAGTCTCGAACAGTACCTTTTCGAGCTGAGACAGAGGTCCTCGAAACATGTTCTCGCCAAGGGGGACTCCCTTTGCGCATGATCATCAATAGAGCCTATAGCGATTAGAAGAACGCTCGCACTCCTCTCATCATCTGAACCCTTTGAACATCAGTGCTCGTATCAGTAAGGGAAGGAGCAGGTTCGAGAGGAGCAGGTTCGTCCATCCTGAATGCAAGATCCAAATCCATACAGCCCAGAAAGATCATAATGTCTGATTTCCAAGACTCAAAATTTGATCCCTTAAGTTTAGGGACACAATCAGGATTAAATGACATGTTAGCTGACATCAGAGAAAATAAACAAATAGATAAGTATAAGCTCACAATTCACAAATGAAACAATTCACATAAGTAGAGATAAAAATGGAAATAAGATACAGACTCAACATTAATATTCTCATCTTTGGATGTAAAATATTCACTTGTAATTAGTATCTCAACGCAGCAATCAAATATTGATAACATAGTCCTGACAAATAATAAATCTTCCTTTGGACCGATATATCATTGTCATGGAAAATAATCAAACAATTATCACATACTTATTGCTTATCACTATTATGTGCCAAAACAATGTATTCAAGAACTCAGCCCAGATAAGCAACTCCTCACTTTGGCTCGATTTAACTATTCCTCCCCCCGCCCGTGGAAAAAAGAAAGAAAACCCCGAAAATTTTTTTTTTTTTTATTTTCCCCTAAAAAATACAAAAAACCGCTGTTTTTTTCTAACAAATAAAAATTTTTTATTTTCCTAAAACATAGGGAATCAATTCAAGCAATAGAGGTCATTTTGGTGACTTAATGTGATCAAATCAATGTTATTTTTAACAAATATCAAACACAATAGGGTGACTTAATCACTAGACTTCCCAAAAATTTAAATCGTAAGTATCGACAGATTAGAAAAGGAGGAAAGCTGATTATTGTAGATATGGTGATGGGAACCCAAAAACAGAATAATGACTCAATTGAAACACAACTTTTCTTTGATATGATGATGATGGTGTTGTTCAATGGTAAAGAAAGAAACAAGGAAGAATGGGCTAAACTCTTTTCTGATGCTGGTTTTAGTGATTATAAGATAACCCATAAGTTGGGTTTAAGATCTGTAATTGAAGTTTATCCTTAATTAATATATGATCAAGTAAAAAGCTTCACTATTGGTGAGAGATGGACAGGCTGAAGTTTGAGCAAGGTTAATAGCTATAGGTTATGTTACAGAAAATTTAGGGACCTAATCTGAAGTTACAGAAACTTAGAGGACTAATCTGAAGTTACAGAAAATTAAGGGACCAATATGAAATTACAGAAATTTAAGGGACTAATATGAAATTACATAAAATTAAAGGACTAATATGAAATTTGCCAGGGACCTAACCATAATTTTCCATCCCTAACCTTGACACAAAAACGAACAGAGAAAAAACAAAGAAAAAAAAAGAACCAGGTCCGCCGCCAACTCTCTCCACCTGCCGTTCCAGCCCCTTTCGGCCGCCAACACCACTAGTTCCAACCGAAGACAAACTCCAGTAGCCATTGGACGGTGAATGGCAGCTCTTAATTCTCATGTTTTTGAGAGCATACTACTAGATTATGATAGAGGCTTAATCACCAAACAAAGCCTGAATCTTTGATTTTTTTTTTTTTTTTGAAATTTGGCAAATACTTTCAATTTTATCGATCAATGCCCTATATTTATTTTCTATATATGTTTTTCATTGTCAATTCTAGCATCCGTATAAAGTCCGATTGGATGCGATCGGCAGCCTTGGGAACGAAAGAACTCAGTTAGCGTACTTCGGATATGCCAATTACCATACCTTGGATATGCGAATTGCTTACAGTCAGAGAGTCCATATTTTTATTTTTCAAATTTGGTAGTGTTAAAGGGTACTCTAGAAATCATATTCTTGAATACGCATATAAAATTATTGAAAAATATCTATTGCTACAGCTATGATGAAGATTAATCAGTTGACAATTAATCAGATTAATCAAGTTAACTATAGTAGTTTAATCAAATTAAACAACAATTAAGTGTTAGATCTTCTGCAAAATAAGGCAAACAGAGAAATTGAGGAACAATGTGTACACCAGCTTTTCTATACTTCCCTAACAATATTTCGGTCCTTTAACGAAATAGGAATTATATAATGGTCTCTACACTTAATATCTATAATTAGTTGATACCTCAATAGTCAATTATTTACAATCAAAACCACATTTGAAATTGACTTTACAATTGGACTGCTGTACATATTTTTTTTTACATATTAAGCCCACAATAGAAAATTAAATCCAACAATTTGATCTAATACTTTGTTCTCAATATATTTGAATCGGGCTGCCTCTGAAACCATTTGGATAAAAGAAACTAGAGGTTTAGCAATGTCTGCTGGTAGAGAACTTTTTTGAAGATCATATATGTAATTTCGCTAATTCTTCATCTCTTTGTTTCATCTCCTGCAACAGCAGAACATTTTGCTTAAGAATAGACTAGAGCATTAAGTGTATATTTCCAAATATTAATTGCAACCAAAACATCTGAATCCCTGACTAATGAGTGAAGATATTTGTTTTTAACAGCCGATAACATAACCAAAACACATATAGAAAGGGCAAGAGCACCGGTAGGTCATAAACTAAAATTCTCCACAGCTCAAACAGAAGCATAAACCAAAGTGATAAAGGTTTGACAAGCACTTATAATTCCTAGTTGATGATCCATTTAATGTGAGGAAATGACCCAAACCACTATTACACATTTGAAGTTAACATTTGATAAGATAATTTAGATAGACACAAGTAGAGTAAATTGCACCACTTTCTGATGGATCCATTCCATGTGAGGAAATGGCATATTCAATAAATAAATAGACAATGCATCAACTTGATTTTCCATGATTAGAAATTTTACATTTGAGAATTCCATGCAACCCATGCCAGCAGCCTACACAGATTATATAATTTTTTGAGACCAAGTGGATAATGCTTGAATTAAATACCTTATCATCTTTATCACATTCCTTCCATCTGTCAACTTAGAAATTTTACATTCTGGAATTCCAGGTAACCCATGCCTACAGCCTACACAGATTATATACTTTTTTGAGACCAAAGTGGGTAATGCTTGAATTAAATACCTTATCATCTTTATCATATTCCATCCATCTGTCAACTCCCTTTCTTCCTCAATTGCAATAAAGAAAAAATACAACGAAACATGGATAATGGGCAGAAAAAAAGCATCTCTATTAGAAAGGTGCATAAAAATGTCAATCAAAATATAATGTCAGGGCAACACAATGGGTCAAGGGATGATATAAAGTTATAAACACATACTTGTAATTCCCGTATTCGCATCTCCTCCTTTCTTGCTTCTGATCTGGAACTTCTTTGGACTTCAAAAGTGACAGCAAGCAAACATAAACATTTAGATGTTGATTCACATTCAAGAACAGCAATGCAAAATTGCAAATGTATGCCTAAAAATCCAATCTTTTTTATATAATTTTAGACCAGTAACAGGAACCGGAAGAGAGAAATACCGTAAAAACAAAGAGTTCCCCAATAAGATCAGCTGCAGCTTGGACAGCCTTCTCCTCATCCAAAGGACGTATTGCAACATTAGTTGCATGACCGTAAATCCGCCTTTGCACTGTTGTTGTGAATCGATGGTTTGCCTAATAAATTGTTGTGAATCGATGGTTTGCCTAATAAAGGAAAATAAACTGAAATCGACAAAGTTATAGATAAAGACAGAATATTTACAGATCAAGAATTGACATAATTGCACAAGAAGGGAAACGAATAGAAGAGAAGAGAACCTGTGCAATGCTGATTATGAACTGACGGAACCTGGGGTGCAGCCCTGCTTCCTTCTTGAGCCTATTGGCTATGGGTTTGCAAACCGTTTTGAGAGCAAGCGTTCCTAGCTTTACCACTGGTAAAATCATATTACTTCTTTATACGTTTTCGACCACTTCACTTGTTTGGTTGCAGCGCACATAAGCCGTTCGACGTTGTTACTCAAAGAAATAAAAGCGTTGTTACTCAAAGAACATAATTGTTACTCAAAGAAATAAAAGATGAACTATAAGACAAGTAGAGAACCACCATACAATCGCGCCCTCTCGACACAGGATGTTTTCAGACGGCGCGCTTTAACCACGTCTCATCATTATAATATGCTTTGTCAGCTGACCGCGCTCTACAAAAAACGACATCGTTTTTTTTTATGAAACGTCGTTACAGTGATGCGTGTCATGAAATCTGTGACATATAGCTAACCTGTCGTTCACCGACTGGGACAAGCCCTACAAGGACTCCACTTGACAAACTGAATAACTTCTTCATTTAGGCTTCTTTTATTTTTGAAAATAACTTATTTGAAAAGTATTTTTAGATTTTGATATTTGAATCGTAGAAAGAAAATCAGTTAATGAAAAATATGTTTTTTTATTTGAATTAATATTAATGATATTATTAATTATTTATTAAATTATTGAAAAAAACTGAAAAACTTTTTAGATATTAAATTAAAAAAGAATTATTGAAAAAGTTTTATTATTTTAAAATATCAATGCTATTATTGAATTATTTAGTTAATTATTATTGGTTGATGAAATAAGCCGAAGATCTAAAAAAACTGGTAAATAAGAGAAAACAAACAATCTTTAAGTTATTTTATGTCCTTTTTAAACTAAAGAGGTCCTTTCATTTGATTATTTGCTTGTCCTAATTTTTTTATCGATATTAATTTTTATAAATACAACTACGCGAAGCGTCCGCGCTTTTGCGCGAGTTGCTTAATAATTTATAAATATATATTAAAAACCTATTTTTTCTATAAATTTTTTTATCGTTGTATATTATATTTATTAAGTTGTATTTAATATATTATTAAAAAATCTATTTTCCGCTTTATCAAATTATCATCTTATTTGTAAAATTATTAAATTATAGAAATTGTAGCGCCATTAATTTATTTTAAATAACTATACAATTCAATTAAATGTTTATAAAGGTTTTAGTTAAAGTTTATAAAGGTTTTAGTTAAAATTTATAATTCAAACAATTTATCTTATCATAGATAATTCCATACAAATAAAGTTTTTCAATTCAAATGGATGATATATATATATGGATATATTATTTATTTTATAATTAAATAAAACCTTTCCAAAAAAAGCTAGTGAAGGCCAAGAAGATAAATGAAAAAACAAAACTAACAATTAATTTATTTGATAATTAATAATAAATAATACAGCAAATGAGAGAGTATCTTATAAGACAGCATTAATAAATTAGTCAATGGAAAAAGAACGCATATAAATTTTTTTAATTAAACCAATATTCATGTGAATTGCATTCAGATCAAGACGGAATAAAAGAAGCCCTCCATTTTGCTTTCTTTATGCTTTCGTTTCTTCGAAAAGTTTTGAAACAGAAATAATCAATTTATTAATTAGTAGAATATTCAAAAATTTGGGAATGTTTAGTAATTAATTACTTATTAAATTACTTGATTGGCATTATGTAATGGAATTCAGTTGGCAAGACACTCATACAAAATTATTTCCAATTCAGAACAACCATATTCCACCGTCGCTTACCGAATTAAAAAGAAAAAAATATTTTTTAAAAAGCTACATGCACTTCAGTAATACAACTAAATAAATTGGCTCACTAAAGGAAAAAGACATTTTTTTATTCACATGTAAGTGGAAGAATTGAGGAAGGTAGTAGGAGAGATATAGATGCATTAGCAATCCAATCAGTCCATGAACGTTTTTTTATGTTGTTAATTTATTATTTATAACTATCCGTAAGAGTTAAATCTGATAGCTAAGTTTTAACTAGACTTTTGTAATTTTAAAAATAATTTTGTTCCTATAGATTATAAAATTCCATATTGGACAAAGTGACTCTTAATAAAAAATATTAAAAAATCACAAGTCAATCAATAATTGTTAGTAAGTAGATCAATAATTTCTATAATGGATAAAGAGACCTTAAAAAATTATTAAAACCCAAATCCAATTATTAATAAAAATGAAAAAGAAAAGTAAAAAATCTATAAAAAAAATGATAAATAAGAATGTTGAAATAGAGGAACGTGTTAGCTTATTTTTTAACTTCAAAGATTAGTAATATATATATATCGGGAAGGGAGATTTTCTAAACAAATATATTTTTTTGGTTACATATAACAAATATTTTTAATTGTAACATTAACTGAGTACTCTTGCGTGCGTGGGTTCATGACATTGTCAACTACTTGCAAAGCGTGATAAGACGATTAAGCGTTGTAACTTTCACAATGGCTGGAGACAAAAGGCACCATATGCCATGCCGGTCCCGATAAGTTAAAGGCCTAAAGGAATCCGTCGGTAGTAGTTTTGACTGGTCTTTTCATTTATACGAGAAGTAGAAGATATTGAGTTATTAATTGGATATTTTTATTGGATTTTACAAAATTGGGATCCATTAACAGTGCCGGAGCACCGCCTAACCTACATAAAATCATACAAAAACCATATTATGAAATTAGAAGTGGACTTAGTATTCAACAAGGTTTAGCAAGTAATAATATTTGTTGAAAATGATTTGGGAGATGTTCCTACAGAAAAACTTGCAAGAGTTTCTCCTAAAAATAGGAGGTTATCCCAAACATATGAATACAAAACACTCCCAAATTTCAAACTCCAAACCCCATCAAACTCCAATAACAACAACAATAACACTTCTATAATTTCATAACTAAACATAATTAAAATCAAAAATTAAAGTAAGGTAAGTGTGTTTATGAACACTAACCTTAAAAATAAGCTTTAGCAAGCTTAAATTAAAGCTTTCTAAGCTCTAACTTTGGCTTTGCTCCATGGTAGAGGTTTCTCCAACCTTTGGCTTAAGTAGAGAATGTCCAAATTTCTTGAAATAATTCACCAAAAATCACTTCTCAAGCTTTAATTTCTAGGATTAATAACTTAAATCAAGTTGGGTAGAAAAGATTTGGTGGATTTAGTGAGTAGGGAGTGAAGAAAAACAAAGAGAAGAAGAAGAGGGAGTTGGCGTTAACACGGAGAAGAAGAAGAAAAGAAAAAGTGTTGCTCAATAATTGAGAAGTTGACATATAAAACAACTAAAGGGTAGTTTAGTCTTTTCTCACAATTGGATGGCTAGGATTAAGTCAAAAGGAATCTCATCTAATGGCTACAAATAATCTCCAATTAAATTCTTTCAAAATATTATTTATCTCCATAAAATTCTCAAATTTAACCCTTAAAAATAATTCCTCAAATTTCCTTACTTAATATAACACCATAATTCACTATTCACTAATTATCTAAATTCTCCAAAAATATTCATTACTTATTTCTTATTTTTCTACTCATAAAAATCATGTATAGCATAATCCAAAAATATTTAAAATAAAATACTGACACATAGATAGAATTTTACTTCGGACCAAAAATAATACTTATTCCCGAACATTGATGGTACTATTCACAGACGGTGGTTACTATTTACAGACCGGATAATAAACTATTATTTTAAGACACAGAAAAATCAAGGCGTTACATTTATCGAGTTATTAGTTGGATATTTTTAATTGGGATTTTTAACAAAATTGGGATCCATTAAATTTGGAATTCCTGTCCACTTCTAGTGCAAAATCCATCAAAAGTTTTTTTTTTTTTTTTTTTCAGAAAATGTTGTTTTGCTATATTGTTTTTTGTTTTCATGGGTTTATTAGGAAAATTTGGAGTTTTATTGTTGGATATATATTTTTTAAACCATCGATATCCGGACTCTATTATCAAGGACCACATAATTTGGCTCGGGGTTTAATCATAGTTAAAACTCTTCGTCTCTTCTTGTATGTGAGTTTAATGGACATCGAAATCAAGAGCTCTTGATTTTTTTATATTTTAGTTGTGGTTGTGGATGGGTTTTGCTAGTTTTGATATTAGAAATTGTGTTGCCATTGGATGAAATTGTTGGCATTAAGATTGAATCTTGCTGTGTGTTTAGATGTTGGATTGTATTTTTGGATTGTATTTTTTTTTCTTCTTATTTATTATCGGATGTGGGAAAATAAAGGAAATGAATTTCTGTTTATTGTTTGGTTGGGATTGAAAATTTGACTAATTCGTATATATCGGTGGTCCATATACTGCAAATGCGTTTTTATTTTGAAAAAAAATTTCTTGAATATTATCCGGGTGTCCAATACACTAATCAATTAAAAAATATTATTTTATTTTTATCTTTTTTTCTTAATGTATGATTAAAAATAACTACATTTAAAGTATAACGATTATTTGTAATTGATTTAGTGTATAAGTTGAGTTCATAACAAATGGATATAGGTAATTGTTTTTCCTTTATTGAATTAATTTATTATATGGATGAAGGCCATTACACCATTTTTTCAAATATCAATTAGCATAGATTTTAATGTTAATTTTTTCCATTTCTTTCATTAATAATATTTGAAACTTCAGAAAGAAAAAATACCGATTTACAATATATTAGATGTAAACAAGTCATTCTCATATATTGGAGTAGTTATTATCCATATCTTAACAACCATTTTTATGGCTACATACATTACAACACGTTTTACAAGAGCATAAAACTTTTTTTTAAATTAGGTAATAATAAGACACCATTCATTGTATATTAATTTAGTACAAACAATAAATAATGTCCTGAGATTGAAAGGTTATAAATCTGATGATTTATACATTTGTAATCATTTAATTATTTAATTGTAATTAGCATTAGCATTTAACATCATGTTTTGAACCATGTGAAGTGACATCAATTTGAACCACGTGGAGTATTAAAAAAATATTGAAAAAAAAAAGAAATCCCCCACCACTCTCTCTATATATACTTAAAAGTATTTGATTGATTGTTCATCATATTTGTACTTCTACCATATCCTAATACTATTAGCCTCAAGCCCATAAAAATGGCTCATTTGGCTGAAGAAATTGTAAACCTAGATTCTGATCAGCAACTTGAAGCTCAAGCTCATATATGGAACCATATTTTCAACTTCATAAATTCCATGTCCTTAAAATGTGCAATTCAATTAGGAATACCAGACGCCATTAACAAGCATGGCAAGCTCATGACTCTTTCTGACCTAATCAATGCCCTATCTATACACCCAACCAAAGCGCATTGCATTCCTCCCAACCAAAGCGCATTGCATTCCTCGCCTGATGCGCATTTTAGTCCATTCTGGTTTTTTTGCTGTAGCAAAAATAGAAGAAAATGGCTGAGAAATAGAAGGGTATGTTCTTACTAATGCATCGAAGCTTCTTGTTAAGAAAATCCATCGAGTGTGACACCGTTCTTGCTAGCCATGCTTGATCCTGTTTTAACAGGACCATGGCATTATTTAAGCACTTGGTTCTAGAAAGATGATACAACCCCATTTCATATATTTCACGGAAACGAATTATGGGAATCTGCTGGTCAACATCCTAAGCTCAACAATTTTTTTAATGAAGCTATGGCAAGTGATGCTAGGTTGGTTATGAGTATTATGTTATGAGTATTATGATAAAAGAATGCAAAGGAGTGTTTGATGGATTGAAGTCATTGGTTGATGTTGGAGGTGGAACAGGAACTGTGGCTAAAATTTTAGCTAATGCATTTCCTCACTTGGATTGCTTTGTCTTCGATCTCCCTCATGTCGTTGCTGGTCTTCAAGATGGTGAGTGAGAACTTGAAATTCGTTGGTGGTAACATGTTCGAGGAGATTCCCCCTGCAGCTGATGCAATTTTACTGAAGGCATGTACTGAAATTTATGCTCTCTCTTTTCTTATCTTTTCCTTAATTTTACTGGTATTAGATGAAGAATTTCTCTTGCTTTTGAATGTCTAACCTTCCTGCATGCTGGCCGTGATATTCTGCTAACAAATTTTTTAATTTATTTTCGATCATAAGCAGTGGGATTTTGCATGATTGGAGTGATGAAGAATGCATTAAAGGATATGAAAGAAATGTAAAGAAGGCAATTAAGGCAGAAAAGGAGGGGAAAGCTGATTTATTATAGATATGGTGAAATGGAGACCCACAAAAACAAGGAATAATGACCTCCATTGGAAAAACTCAGCTTTTCTTTGACATGTTGATGAATGGTGTTGGTTAGTGGTAAAAGAAAAGAAACAAGAAAGAATGGGCTAAAACTCTTTTGAGCTGGTTTGGTTGACTATAAGATAAACCCATGTGTTGGTTTAAGGGTCGAATTGAAGTTTATCTTTATTAGTATTATGTATTACTACCCATATATGTGAATTAGTAGAGTAATATTGGGTTTTGTTTCAATTTGTGAAAAAAGTGAGATAGGGTCGAATTCTATTTAGAGGCTTTACTATTAAAATGTTATTAACGAGTTGGTGAATATTACTCAATGAGGAGGTTGTCTCTTGCCTGTATTTACTCAAGGAATGTTTTAAAAATAATTGTTTAAATATTACTAATTACCAGTTGGTGTTGGTTAGTGGTAAAGAAAGAAACAAAAAAGAATGGGCTAAACTCTTTTTTGATGCTGGTTTTAGTGACTATAAGATAACCCCTGTGTTGGGTTTAAGGTGTGTAATTGAAGTTTATCTTTAATTAATTTTATAAATGTCATTATTTGAACATCTAATTAAACACAAATGGATTGTTTTATTGAGCACAATATATAATAATTTAATTATGCAGACGTAAATTTTCATTAGATTTTATTAGCAAAATCGTATTACAGGTGAATTTTCATGCTATTAGATAGCATTTTTCTAAGAACACTGCACACACGAATGAAAAGGATAAGATTAAAATCCTTAAGATTTTGTTTAGAAAAGAGAGAGAAGAAAATAATAAAATGTATATCACATTAAATGATGTAATTTTTTCAATTTAATAATAAAAATTAAATGTAAATCGAAGTTTCTGAATTTTTTAAAAATCAATATTATAAATCCATTCATTAAAAGAGGAGTATATAAACCAACCACCAATTGTTCCCGTGTGATTAGGTGCTGAATTCCATAAACAATGTCTAGGATTCGAACTCTACATACCAGACGATTTAAAAAAAAAAAAAAAGTGGAGTACATGATATTAAATTCGAATAAATCAAAAACTTAAACGCGCTAAAGTGGAAAAAAAGAAGATGAAAACCATTGATATTTTTTTTTACAAATTTGCCAATTCAGTAATAAAGAAAATAATAAAAGATGAAAACCATTGATATTTTTTTTACAAATTTGCCAATTCAGTAATTTTTTTTTACAAATTTGCCAATTCAGTAATAAAGAAAATAATAAAGGACATAACTTGAGTATTTTTATAGGAATAAGAAATGATTTTAGCAGAAGAAATCAATTTTTCGGAAAAAAATTAATTCATTTTCAAAAAGGATAATAAAAAATTATTCTAAGTTTTATTCTTTTTGGATACTTGCTATATTGATATCGACGTAAGAGTTTGAAAATACCAAACTTTAAAAGAGGAAAAAGTCGTACTAACAACATCTATTGAGCAATCCTTGTCAAATCTAGCAACATTTTCATCCAATATTTATCACAATCTTGAGCAAAAGTGAGCCTCGTTGAAACAAAAGTGAAATTACACACATATATTATTTACAAAAAAAAAAAGTCCACGTGTGATGAGGCGCGCTGATTTCATAAGTTAATGTCTTAAGATTCGAACTTCTAAAAATACCAGGACGATTTTAAAACAAAAAAAAAAAAAAAAAGGAGTACACGATATTAAATTCAAGTAAATCAAAAAAAAACTTAAACGTGCTTAAAGTGGAAAAAAAGAAAGATGAAAACCATTGATATTTTTTTTTCAAATTGCCAATATTTTTTTTTACAAATTTGCCAATTCATTAATAAAGAAAATAATAAAGGACATAACTTGAGTATTTTTATAGGAATAAGAAATGATTTTAGCAGAAGAAATCAATTTTTCGGATAAAAATTAATTCATTTTCAAATAGGATAAAAAAAAATTATTCCAAATTTTATTCTTTTTGGATACATTGATATCCACATAAGAGTTTGAAAATACCAAATTTTAAAAAAGGAAAAAGTCATACTAGCAACCTCTATTGAGCAATCCTTGTCAAATCTAGCAACATTTTCACCCAATATTTATCACAATCTTGAGCAAAAGTGAGCCTCGTTGAAACAAAAGTGAAATTACACACATATAAATTACACACATATATTATTTACAAAAAAAAAAAAAATTGAGGTTCTAACCCAATTTAATTAGGTGTGTACTAGGGCTGCACAGGACCCATGCGTTAACAGGCTTTTTCGCAAGTATATGAAATCACAAATAAGTAATAAAGAATGAGTAAAATATCGTCCCACGAAAATTGTATACCAAGTACCAAAATTGTGTTACCTACTATTATTTAAATGACAAAAAGGAAAATAGATTGAAAAATAAAATAAAAAAATGAATAAGAAATCAAACAAAAATATTTGATGAAAATAAATCAATCATTAAAAACTATTAGGAATTTTGACATCACTTAATTTTATGTAATTTATTTTATTAGTTTGATAATCATCAATGATTAAAAACTATTAGGAATTTTGAATTCACTTAATTCTATCCAATTTATTTTATTAGTTTGATAATCAATTTTAATTGTTCAAGTAAGTGAAACAATCCTAAAATTACTAACAAGCTCTCCCGATGCATTATTAGCTATTTTCAACCCAGTCTAATTACCTATCTTCTAATAACCCAACTAAACATGAATTAAATAATTAAATTTTATGATTTGTTTAAAAATTCATAATTTAAGTTCGTTAACTTATAAAGCACCGCACGGCAGATTCAAATTAACGGAGCCAAGAATACGAGAGAAAAAGCTTTGTTGTGGTGTTTATCGTTTTTTGGGAGAGAAAAACATTTCAATTTCATGCAAATGCAATCAGTAAGCTGTTAACTGCTAAGGAAGGCAGGTCGATATATAGGCTTGTTTAGAAACTTTCCCGGAAAATGAACAACGCCGTCGTGAGTCAACATGGAAAGAAATGACCATCATACCCCCCTAATTTTTTTTCTTCAATTTTTTTATAAACAAATAAATAAATAAATTTCATTAGTATAACATTTCCCTTGCCATTACGATCAGCAAAAGTTCATCTTTTTAACGTTACTTTCTGCATTTGTTCATCTTTTTAACGTTACTTTCTGCATTTATTTTTTCTTCTTAGCTTGGGCCTACTTATTTGATCTTATAAATAAAATTCGTCTCCTTATTTTACAAATAAAATTTACTTGAAAATACTAATGCATGTATCCGAATTTCGCCTGATTATATTAAATTAGTACATAAAATTACATTTTTAGTCTGTGAAATTTGCTCTTAATTGCAAATTAAGCTTTCAAATTGGGATAATATTTAAAGAATTACAAAGGATAAAAAAGAAAAGTTCAACTATATTTGTCAAGTTCCTCTGGTTTTCGTTCAACTTCCAACAATTGCGCTTTAGAGCCTTCACATTTTGGAATTACAAGTAACCCAAACCCAGAGCCTAACATGGGGATAATGCTTCAACTAAATACTTTATTATCTTTATCATATCCAATCTATCTCTCAAGTCTCAACTCCCTCTCCTCAGTTGCTGTAAAATAAGAAAAGTACAGCGAAAGAATGGACAAGGGACAGAATGAAAGCTTCTCTGTTAGAAAGATGCTTAAGAATGGCAGGGGATTGTCTGCTTCAACACAATTAAGACAAGGGGATAATATAAAGTTATAAACACACACTTGTAATTCCCATATTCGCATCTCCTCCACACACTTGTAATTCCCATATTCGCATCTCCTCCTTTCTTGCTTCTGATCTGGAACTTCTCTGGACTTCAAAAGTAACCTCTAAAAAAAAAGGAATTTCATAAGTTTACCAATTCATGAACAAATTACAATTATTTCCTGGTTGGAAGAAACTGCAAACCCAAACATTTATATGTTAATACAAATTCAAGAAAAACAATGCAAAATTGCAAATGCATGTCTAAAAATTGAACCTTTTTGTATACAGACAATTATTGATGGAGTTGGATCCACTCGAACTTAACTTCTTTTGAAGCAGAAGTAAAAATTTTTAGAATCTTGAGTTTTAAATTTATTTGCAGTAATTGTTTAGTAAGTGTAAATGAACCGAGACGGTTAGAACTTGGCTGGAAAAAAGTTCGAAAAAGCATGCAAAGTAAGTTTTGCCCATATGCAATTTAAGATTATCGAACTTGATCGAGCTTTTGTATATATATGTACCATATTTATTTTAGGCTTATTTGAACCTCGAGCCCATCTCAAATTTAAAATTTTTCGAGTTGAATTCAAACTTTAAGTTGAATTTGAGCTCAATTAGAATTTTCAGACCGTCGAGTTTCAAGCCGAACTTTGAGCCTCACAAGGTCAAGCTCAGCTCCATTCATTTATACCCTTAACTACAATGTTCAATGAAAACGATTTTCAACTTGTTAGACATGCTCATAAATTGGTAAGTCTTTCATTACTCTAGTAAAGCGTCTTCCATTCCATTTCCTTCAATAAGGGGCTGCAAAGTAAGTTTTGCTCATATGCAATTTAAGATTAGCAAATTTTTTTTTTTTTTTTTTTTTTTTTTTTTTTGGTAATACAAGGAGAAATCAAAACTACAGAGTGCGCCTACAATAGGCAACACCTCTTGAATCATGATAAAGCCAATTACATAAAGCAGGAGGACATAAATCCAAGATATGGGTTCTATCTTGTGACAGAGAAGCATTAGCAGCCAACCAGTCAGCACAACGGTTGACTTCTCGAAAAACGTGGGAAATTTGGCAAACTCACTCTCCTTCCAACAATCGATGAACACTAGCCACCACGGCCTGGCAACTCCCTGGCACCTCCCCTTCTTTTCTAACCATCTTAACCACAGTAAGGTAATCACATTCAACCTGCAATTTAAGACCACAGTAAGGTAATCACATTCAACCTGCAATTTAAGAGTAGCAAAAAATTTTTGTTGTATACTCACAGGCAATGAGATCATTGCCCAGTCCGTAAAGCGTCTTAATCCCAAGTGAAGGTCATGAATTGCTTCATGTGCCAAAGTTTTTTAAAAGGCAATGTTTTGCACTATTTTGAAGAATTGTTTGTTTTATTTGCCAATGTTTTCTAAAAGTAATTAGGCAAGAAAAAAACAATCAAGCTATTGTGAATAACGCTTATCAATTGAAGGTTAAATGAGATATGGGACTCCTTAAAAAATCTCCCTCACCAAATACTAAAAGCCATAATAATTTATTATCATAAAAAAAATCTCCACGCTCTCATCTCTCTATATATACATGTTTGATCATATTTGTATCTCTATCATTTCAAAATACTATAAGCCATAATAATAACAACATCCTTAAAATAGTTTGTAATGTACATTTGTGATGCTACTCACTGTCATCTAACTAATTAATTTTTTTTAGCAGCAGTTACAATAATTCAGAGCCCATTCAGGCGCAGTACGATTCATTAAAAAATCCATTAGGAGCAATAAAACCCACAAAAGAGAAATAATAAAAATTAAAATTAAAATTAATTGTTATAAAATCAAGGATTTAATTTGGTGAGAATAAAAATTAATTATTTCAGAGAATAAAAATATTGACAATTGAACTTATATATCAATCTACTTATATACAAAGCTAATCTAATAAACGTATTTGTTCGTATGGTACTGCTCAATGTGTTACCCCTAATATGACGTGGATATAACAATGTAGTTACCCCTTAATATGACAGTGGATATAACTGTATTTTCGTTAAATATTAAGTAACAAAAATTATATTTTTTAAATGAACAATTAACTTATTCACCAAGCTAATTAATTTAACTATATTTAATTTAATAAATATATTTATTTATATGGTATTTGCCTACCTAATATGACGTTGATATAACTGCTTTTTCGTTAACAAATAGTAACAAAATAATTTTTTTAAAATGACAATTAATTATTCATGAGCAAGCCTCGTAAATATTTTCTAAATACAACAACGCATGAAATAATATTTAAAAAAAAGAATAATTAGAAAATTTCAAAAACAATATCAAAAAGAGTAAATCACAATTATTTTTTTATTGTTTTTGTTTTAGTATCAAGAGGTATTAATCCTGTCCCATGGTCTGTCTCTTATGCTTACGGGGATGGATTCAATTACTGTTTTTTATTCAATATAAATATAAAAAATAAAAAAATAAAAATCTCCTAGTTTAGTGGAGTGAGTGGAGTGCAAGAAGATAGGACTTTGATTAGAGGGAAAGAAACAGAGACAGAAAAAAGAAAAACAGAAAATTCCTAATAAAAAGGAAAATAAATATAATATTATCCGATTAGAAGAGTTGCACACCCTTCAATACACCAGACGTCACGAGTCACTCGATAAATATAATAAATAAATATAATTGTCAATATCTCATCAATTTATATCTCTATCCTAATGCAATTAACAAACCCATAAAAATGGCTGACGGAATTCTAAACCAAGATTCTAATCAGCAACTCGAAGCTCAAGCTCATATATGGAACCATATTTTCAACTTCATAAATTCCATGTCCTTAAAATGTGCAGTTCAATTAGGAATACCAAGATGCATTAACAAGCATGGCAAGCCTATGACTCTTTATGTTAGGGATTACCGGCAACTAAAATTACAGAAAATAATTCAAGCAGCAGAAATATTAAAATGGGACACACAAAAATTTACGTGGCTTTACCCTCCATCGTTTAGGCTCGTCCACGGGGACCAACTCTGAATATCTCTAGTCCACTATTTAAAAAAAATAGTAGGTACACAAAAAGAGTTAATAACAAAGAAATAGTGGCACACAAAGTGTTTTCAAAAAACACCCCTAAGAATTCTCACTAGTGTTTTCTAAAACCTTGTTTTTTAAGCAACCCTCTTTAAAACTAAAAACCTCTCCTAATGTTCTCGTTGTTGGTAGTATATATCTAAAGCTTGAGAACATCTTCTCCCTATTTATTGGAGAGGGAATGAGAGAGTCATTGTTTGTTACACACGTGCTCATCATATTCATAGTTGTTGCCCGGACTTGAAAGTTGGCCAACCAACTTTTTGCTTTTTCAAATGCACGTTTTTTTTTTCTCTTTATTATTTGTTTTTTCTTTATCAAACTCAAAAATGTGTAGGGGTTCCCACTTGAGTGGGCACCAGGCCACCAACCAAATCTCCCCCTGCCATGCTCAGAGTGGGGACTGTTAGTGGGGACGTTAGCCATACTCTCCATCATTCCTGCAGCTAATCGACAATATTCAAACTTGTCTTTTGGAAGAATCTTCGTTAACATATCTGATCCATTTTGATCTGTATGGATCTTCTCAAGCTGTAACTGCTTCATCTCTAATACATCCCTGATCCAATGATATCTAACATCAATGTGCTTTGACCTTGAATGAAAGGAGGAATTCTTCCCAAGATGAATCGCACTCTGGCTACCGCAGAATATCAAATATCGTTCTTGATGAATTCCGAGTTCATTCAAGAACTTCTTCATCCACAGCAACTCTTTGCATGCTTCTGTTAGTGCTATGAATTCCTTCCAGAACTTTGTTGATAGAGCAACACATTTTCTGCAATGCAATCTTGATTGCCATGACACGGCTCCCTCTGCAAATGTGATTAGATACCCTGATGTGGACTTTCTCGAGTCAACATCCCCGGCCATATTTGCATCGGTATAACCGACTAATACTGGCTTCTCATCTCCAAAGCATAAACATGCTTTGGTCGTACCTCGAAGATACCTGAAAATCCATTTCACTGCAGCCCAATGTTCCTTTCCTGGATTTGAAAGAAATCGACTTACTACTCCGACTGAGTGAGCAATAGCTGGCCGTGTACAGACCATGGCATACATCAAGCTTCCAACTGCTGAAGCATATGGGATCTTTTCCATCTCTTCCTTCTCTCCATCGGTAGAAGGGCACTCACTGTTTTTGAGCTTAATTTTAAAAGGTTGATTAGCAGAGGCAACTTAACCGCTTTAGGCATTCTCCTCATTCTTAACGTGAAGTACGTTTCTCAATCTTTACTTCTCTTGTGACACCATTAAATTTCTTTAGTTCTTCGATTCTTGTAATCTTCATGCCAAAGAATTTTGCTTTTGCTGTCCAGTCTTTCATAGCAAAGGACTTACTTAGCTGTTTTCTTCAAGCTATTATTTATGACAGAATTGCTGACCAACAATCAACATATCATCTACATAGCAGCAAGAGCATATGTAGTCATCCATCAGAGAATTTTCTTACCAAGGGACACAGTTTTGATTCTTGACAGTGGTCTTTTGTAACCTTTGTTGCCCCATAACAGACTCAACTTCTTGTCCACGTTCTTGGCTGCCTGCTTCAAGCCCGTACAGGCTCTTCTTCAGTTTACAAAACATCTTCTTTCCCTTTTTTTATGAAACCCTCTGGGCTGCTCCATGACTATATTTCTTTCTTCCAAATCTCCATCGTAGGGGAGACAGGTTCTTTAACATCCATTTGTTTGATTTCATATCAAAACTAGGTGGCCATTTCGAAGCACTGTCGAGCATGATTCGTTTTCACAACTGGTGAAAAGATTCATTCAAAAGCAACACCCTTTTCTTTGTGAACCTTGTCACAACAATTTCTAGCTTTTGAACGTGGTTGGGGAGCTGTTTCTTCCTGCCTTGATCCTGAAACCCATTTGTTCTTTCAAAGGCTTTCTTACCGTTTCCGGGCAAGTTTACCAGCTCAAATGTTTTATTCTCCATGCAAGGATTTCATTTCTTACTTGGCATGGCTTTCAAATCCAGTTCTTTTTGTGTTCACTTTTCATTGCTTCTTCAAAGCATTCAGGTTCTCCCCTCTGTCAGTCATTTTGAATACATCGTCAGTCATCAATACATATTCATTTGCTGAATATCTAGTAGATGGTTGTCTGACTCTACTAGACCTTCTTAATATTTGAGAACCTTCCAGTGCTGGTTGCTGAACATGAACACCATCAAAATCTTCTTCTGGTTCATTCTGATAAGGAACTTTTGGATTTTCTAACTCTGGCTCTTATTCTTGTGGAATAGTTTCTTCATCTCCAACTTGTCTTTATTCTGTTGCTGGAGGAATTATTTGTACATCTGTTGAATCATCTTCAGATCTATCGGCAACTTGCTTCTGAGTCTTTTCAACATCTTCAATAGTCTGATTTTCAACAAATACAGCATCTTATCATTGTTTTTTCTAGGTGGATTCAAAAAATCCTATAGCCAAATTGATCTTGGCCATAGCCACAATGAATACCTTATCAGTCTTGACATCAAGCTACTTAGACCTTCTCACTGCCTTGAGGATATGCCGAAGGCTTTTGGCAACCAACACTCCGCAGCATGATCTAGGAAAACATCCTTCCTGACCATACTCTTTCTGGAGGATCATTACCGTAGGGGAACACAAGGTGAACGATTTATAAGATGAATTGTCTTAGAAGAGCTTTCACCCAAAAATCTTTTTAGACAACTTTGCAGTTGGAGTAAAACATTCTGGACTCTCATCCATTCAAAGTTCTGTTCATCCGTCTCAGCCAACCGTTCAGTCCTCTCAGCCAAACCGTTCAGTTGCGGCGTCTTGGGAGGTGTTGTTTGATGTCGAATACCATGCTCTTTGCAGAAAGCATCAAATGGCCCAGTGTATTATCCACCATTATCTGTTCTAATGCACTTCAGCTTTTTGCCTGTTTGTCGCTCAACCAAGTTTAGAAATTGTTTAAAAACATCTAAAACTTGATCTTTAGACTTCAAAGTGTACACACAGGTCTTCCTAGAATGGTCATCGATAAATGTTACGAAGTATCGATTTCCACTATATGACATCGTCAATGGTCCACATAGAGCTGAATGCACCAGATCTAACACATTCTTCATTCTGGAAGGCTGAGAAATCTTGAAAGCTACTCTATTCTGCTTTCCTGCCATATAATCAGAACATTTCTCTAACATTGGACTTTATCCAATCCAAAGATATAAGCATGGTTTGTTTTTACCTAGATTTGTGATTTCCTTTCTCACCTATGTGTGGCCTAGTCCGGTTTATCTCACTCATGTGGCCTAGTCGTTTATGCCACAATTCAACTGCACTGTCATCCTCTGCTACATTAAAAGCATCTCGGGAGAGCTTCGCATGCATTACAAACAGCTTTGGGTCTTTCCTTCCATTCACTATCACCATAGAACCTTTTGTGAGCTTCCACTGGCTTTTTCTAAAGGTGCTACAGAAATTTTCATCACCAAGTCTGCCAACCGAGATTAAATTAGAATGCATGTCTGGTACATGCACGACATCTTTTAAAATTAATCTCGAACCATTTTCTATCTCTAGACAAATGTCTCCCTTACCGACGACTTTCAATAGTTTGTCATCTGCTATCTTGACCACACCCAGATTGTCTGGTGTGTAAGATGAAAAATTTTCTCTCCGAGATGTTGCATGAAGTGTAGCCACACTATCAATTACCCAACTGGTCTCCTGGGTTGCAAGATTGATAGTGTCTTCAATGAACAATTGGAACTCAGCAATGACATTAGCTTCATCATCACTGCATCATCACTGCTCTCTTCTTTCTTTGCTTTGCCCTTCATCTTCTCCTGATCACTTTTGAACTTCCGGCAATACCTTTTAATGTGGCCCTTCTTCCCACAATGAGGGCACACAGTATTGGCGAATCTGTTTGATTTACCCCTGCTCTTATCTCTTGTATTTGAACTTCTAGATTGGCTCCTCCCTCTGGGCTGGTTATTTCTTTTAGCATCTGCTAAAAAATGTGCTGACTGAGATGAAAGGATTCTTGTGCTTTAGTCTTCATTTCTTCATTCAAGCACAGCATTTTTACCAAATTCCCAGCTACATCCACTATGTGGTTGTAAGAGTTTGTTATTGACTATTTCTCAGAGTCTCCCAAGACTCTTAGTAGGAGCCAAGCCACCATAAGGCGAGATTTTATCATTCAAATTTTATGCCCATATTTGACAGTTGGTGAATAGTTGCCTGCATTTCAACTCGAGTATATCTGCTACAGAGGTACCTTTTCGGTATTAAATTAAATCAGCTTCGTCAAATTAAAATATATGGTTGTTGCCCGATTTTTAAGGCATTATAAAGCTGTTCAAGCTTATGTTCCCATAATGTTCTGGCGTGAGTCTCAGTTAAATGTGGTTGTAACATTATTATCGACAAATTGTCGAAATATAACTACAAACTTGTTCCCGCTCGAAGCTCATTCTTGCATCAGTTTTGTCTTCCGGTTTGCTTGAACCAACACGGGCAATGCATTTTGGTTACTATAGGAGATCTGCTCATTTTATTTCTCTTAATACCTATGGTAATTTGGCTTCTAGACTGGATATTTTTGCTCGTTCCTAGCTTCATGATTTTTGATGAATAGTAACCGTATTATGTGAATGACATGTTACAGAATAGTAACTGTACACGAAATGTACTATACGCTGAATAGTTTTGGCGGCTTAAGCAACAGAACGTCAATAGTAAAACTATTCACTCAACTGTGAGTGACTTTTACGATTCATCACTAAGGTCGATTTTCTGCACGTCTTTCGAGCGGGACTGTGCACAAAGGACTCGGTCGTTATATTTCTCGTCGTCGTTGGTATATTTATTTTCAACAATATATCCACGATTCTGGTACGCTATTTGACAGGCTTGACCAGGCTCTGATAACCCACTTTGGTTAGGATACCGAGCCATAAAATTACGAAAATAATTAAGCTAGACGGAAGTATTTAAATGGGACAACACAGAATTTACGTTGGCTTCACCCTCAACTGTTTTAGTTTAGGGCTACGTCCACGGGACCAACTCCGAATATCTCTTCCACTATTAAAAAACATAGTAGGTACACAAAGAAAGTAATACAAAAATAGTGGCACACAAAGTGTTTTCCAAAAACACTCTAATAATCTTCACTATTTTCTAAACCCTTAGTTTTAAGAACCTTTTTAAAACTAAAAACTCTCTAATGTCTCTCGTTTGTTGTTGGTATATATCTAAACTAAGAAACATGGGAATGTGAGAGTCGTGTGTTTGTTACACACGGCTCTCCATTAATTTCATAGTTGGTTGCCAACTATTCAAAGGTCGGCAACCAACCTTTTGCTTTTTCAAACAGCACGTTCTTTTTTTTTCCTCTTTATTATTTTTTTTTCTTTTCAAACTGTGTGGGTCCCATTTGAGTGGGCACACCACCACCAACATCTTTCAGACCTAATCACTGCCCTATCTATTAATCCAACTTGCATCCTATCCTTTGCCCTATCTATACACCCAACCAAAGCTCATTGCTTTCCTCGCCTGATGCGTATTTTAGTTCATTCTGGTTTTTTTGCTATAGCAAAAATAGAAGAAAATGGCCAAGAATCGGAAGGCTATGTTCTACCCAAAGCAACTGAGCTTCTTGTTAATGAAAATCCATCGAGTGTGACGCCATTCTTGCTAGCCTCACTTGATCCTGTTCTAACAGGACCATGGCATTATTTGAGCACTTGGCTCTTGAATGCTGACCAAACACCATTTCATACATCGCATGGAAAGGCATTGTGGGAATATGCTGAAGATAATCCTAATCTGAACAATCTTTTTAACAAAGCTATGGCAAGTGATGCCAGGTTGGTTATGAGTATTATGATAAAAGAATGCAAAGAAGTTTTTGATGGGTTGAAGTCGTTGACTGATGTTGGAGGTGGAACAGGAACTATGGCTAAAGGCTTAGCTGATGCTTTCCCTCACTTGGATTGCGTCGTTTTTGATCTCCCATGCTGGTCTTCAAGATGGTGATAACTTGAAATTTGTTGGTGGCAGCATGTTTGAGGAGATTCCTCCGGCTGATGCCATGTTTGAAAGAACTCAGTTAGCGTACCTTGGATATGCCAATTATTATACCATGGATATGGGAATTGCTTACAGACAGAGTCCATATTTTTATTTTTCAAATTTGGTAGTGTTAAAGGGTACTCTAGAAATGATATTCTTGAATACGCATATAAAATTATTGAAAAATATCTATTGCTGTAGCTATGATGAAAATTAATCAGTTGACAATTAATCAGATTAATCAAGTTAACAATTGTAGTTTAATCAAATTAAACTACAATTAAGTGTTAGATGTTCTGCAAAATAAAGCAAACAGAGAAATTGAGGAATAATGTGTACACCAGCTTTTCTATACTTCGCTAACAAATGGGAAGTAACGAAAGAAAAGTGATTCGGCTAACAGGTAAATATGGAAAAGACAGATGCTTCCCCCCAAGACCAACAACAATGCAAGTTAACTGTTCAGTGAAGTTAGTTCTTAATGTGCATCTCCATCCAAAGGACGATTGCAACATTAGTTGCATGACCGTAAATCCGCCTTTGCACTGTTGTTGTGAATCGATGGTTTGCCTAATAAAAAGGAAAATAAACTGAAATCGACAAAGTTATTGACAAAGACACAGTATTTACAGATCAAGAATTGACATAATTGCACAAGAAGCGAAAAGAACAGAAGAGAAGAGAACTGAAAAAGTTTTATTATTTTAAAATATCAATGCTATTATTAATTATTTAGTTAATTATTATTGGTTGATGAAATAAGACAAAACAAACTATCTTTAAGTTATTTTATGTCCTTTTTAAACCAAAGAGATCCTTTCATTTGATTATTTGCTTGTCTCAAATTTTTTATCGATATTAATTTTTATAAATACAACTAAACGAAGCTCTGTGCTTTGCACGGGTTGTTTATAATTCATAAATATATATCAAAAATCCATTTTTCTTATGAATTTTTTATCGTTGTATATTGTATTTATTAAGTTGTATTTAGTATATTATTTAAAAAACTGTTTTCTCGCAGGCTGCTTTATTAAATTATCATCTTATTTGTAAAATTATTAAATTATAGAAATTATAGTGCCCTTAATTTATTTTAAATAACCATACAATTCAATTAATTAAATGATTATCAAAAAAAAAAAAAAGTAATAATGAATATATTGATATATAGAAGATAATGAGTGATTTGAGTAAATTAATTAATGATTTATGTCAATTGCATCTTTGTCAAATTCATTGCCAAAGATTTCTGCATCATGTTTTAAGAAATTTGGCAAATTTATTAAGATAGGTAAAGGATTGGAATTTCAGGCAGCCTATCTCCAAAGTCCAAATGCAATCCCTTGATTGCTTTTCACTGTTGGAGTGGAAATTTTCATGAAACTCATCTCTAAATGCTATCATTTTGTTGTCTTATCAAATACGAGTCCTTGAGTTGTTTCGAAAGGATTAAGGTTTATACATGAACGTAGGCCCTTTTTTATTTTTATAATCATTGCCAATATCACAATTGAGCCTGAAACACGTGGCGAACATCCAGGTGATTGGGACTCTTCTCTTACTATCAACAATATTTGATGTTACTAAAGTTTCCGTATATTAATTACTAAATTTTTGGCTCAAAAATTGTTGGTTCGAGATTTGTTTTTTCTATTTGGAAATAAAATCAACAAAAATGAGAGAAATAAAATAACAAGAGAAAATTTGTGATCCTGGTCAATTAATTTTACCGAACACGCTTATATATATATAGAAGGAAAATTAAATAAAATAATTAACTTCAGAATATTTGTGGCAACTACCATGCATCAATGTGAATAATGTGAAAAAATAAAATAAAATATATACTAATGCATGGGGGAAAAATAAAATAATTAGCATTTAACATCATGTTTTGAACCATGTGAAGTGACATCAATTTGAACCACGTGGAGTATTAGAAATCCCCCACCACTCTCTCTATATATACTTAAAAGTATTTGATTGATTGTTCATCATATTTGTACTTCTACCATATCCTAATACTATTAGCCTCAAGCCCATAAAAATGGCTCATTTGGCTGAAGAAATTGTAAACCTAGATTCTGATCAGCAACTTGAAGCTCAAGCTCATATATGGAACCATATTTTCAACTTCATAAATTCCATGTCCTTAAAATGTGCAATTCAATTAGGAATACCAGACGCCATTAACAAGCATGGCAAGCTCATGACTCTTTCTGACCTAATCAATGCCCTATCTATACACCCAACCAAAGCGCATTGCATTCCTAATTACTGCCCTATCAATACACCCAACCAAAGCGCATTGCATTCCTCGCCTGATGCGCATTTTAGTCCATTCTGGTTTTTTTGCTGTAGCAAAAATAGAAGAAAATGGCTGAGAAATAGAAGGGTATGTTCTTACTAATGCATCGAAGCTTCTTGTTAAGAAAATCCATCGAGTGTGACACCGTTCTTGCTAGCCATGCTTGATCCTGTTTTAACAGGACCATGGCATTATTTAAGCACTTGGTTCTAGAAAGATGATACAACCCCATTTCATATATTTCACGGAAACGAATTATGGGAATCTGCTGGTCAACATCCTAAGCTCAACAATTTTTTTAATGAAGCTATGGCAAGTGATGCTAGGTTGGTTATGAGTATTATGATTATGATAAAAGAACGCAAAGGAGTGTTTGATGGGTTGAAGTCATTGGTTGATGTTGGTGGTGGAACAGGAACTGCGGCTAAAATTTTAGCTAATGCATTTCCTCACTTGGATTGCTTTGTCTTCGATCTCCCCCATGTCGTTGCAGGTCTTCAAGATGGTGAGAACTTGAAATTCGTTGGTGGTAACATGTTCGAGGAGATTCCCCCTGCAGCTGATGCAATTTTACTGAAGGCATGTACTGAAATTTATGCTCTCTCACTGAAATTTATGCTCTCTCTTTTTTCTATCTTTTCTTTATTTTACTTGGTATTAAATGAAAGGTTTTCTTGCTTTTGAATGTCTAATCTCCTGCATGCTGCGCTGATATTCTGCTAACAATTTTTTAATTTTATTTTTGATCATAAACAGTGGATTTTGCATGATTGGAGTGATGAAGAATGCATAAAGATATTGAAGAAATGTAAAGAAGCAATTAAAGGCAGAAAAGGAGGAAAGCTGATTATTATAGATATGGTGATGGAGACCCACAAACAGAATAATGACTAATAATGATCATTGAAAATCTCAGCTTTCTGTTGACATGTTTGATGATGGTGGTTGGTTAGTGGGTTAAAGGTGTTGGTTAGTGGTAAAGAAAGAAACAAAAAAGAATGGGCTAAACTCTTTTTTGATGCTGGTTTTAGTGACTATAAGATAACCCCTGTGTTGGGTTTAAGGTGTGTAATTGAAGTTTATCTTTAATTAATTTTATAAATGTCATTATTTGAACATCTAATTAAACACAAATGGATTGTTTTATTGAGCACAATATATAATAATTTAATTATGCAGACGTAAATTTTCATTAGATTTTATTAGCAAAATCGTATTACAGGTGAATTTTCATGCTATTAGATAGCATTTTTCTAAGAACACTGCACACACGAATGAAAAGGATAAGATTAAAATCCTTAAGATTTTGTTTAGAAAAGAGAGAGAAGAAAATAATAAAATGTATATCACATTAAATGATGTAATTTTTTCAATTTAATAATAAAAATTAAATGTAAATCGAAGTTTCTGAATTTTTTAAAAATCAATATTATAAATCCATTCATTAAAAGAGGAGTATATAAACCAACCACCAATTGTTCCCGTGTGATTAGGTGCTGAATTCCATAAACAATGTCTAGGATTCGAACTCTACATACCAGACGATTTAAAAAAAAAAAAAAAGTGGAGTACATGATATTAAATTCGAATAAATCAAAAACTTAAACGCGCTAAAGTGGAAAAAAAGAAGATGAAAACCATTGATATTTTTTTTTACAAATTTGCCAATTCAGTAATAAAGAAAATAATAAAACTAAAGGACTAGTTGAGTATTTTGTATAGGTAATAAGAAATGTTTTAGCCAGAGAGAAATCATGCTTTTACTCCGAAAAATTAATTAATTTTCAAAAATGGATAATAAAATTATTCTAGAAGTTTTATTCTTTTTGTGTACTTGTATATTGATATCGATCGTAGGGTTTGAAATACCAACTTTAAAAGAGAGAAAAAGTCGTTACTAACCAAATCTATTGAGAATCCTGCAATCCTTGTCAAATCTAGCAACATTTTCATCCAATATTTATCACAATCTTGAGCAAAAGTGAGCCTCGTTGAAACAAAAGTGAAATTACACACATATATTATTTACAAAAAAAAAAAAAATTGAGGTTCTAACCCAATTTAATTAGGTGTGTACTAGGGCTGCACAGGACCCATGCGTTA